AAGCTATGTCACACACTCAGCACCTCATCTGAAGGATGGTTAGTACCTTTGAAGTAGAACCTTGCAATATAGTCACATGTTACATGTACCTTCCTGAAGAACTCCTCAGAGGATCTGAGGCCATTTACCAGTATAACTTGACTAATGAAAGAAAGATATGCTGACCTTTTAGAAGTTGGCTCTGAACTTATTATCTTTGAAATATCTCTGCTCTAGTAAAAATATAAATTTTTTTAAGTTTGGTAGATTGGTCACAAATCTATGTGTTGTTTTGTTTTGTTTTCCCCCACAATTCCTGAATATTTACTGAAGTCAATATATTTAGTAGTAGACAGAATTTCCACATTGGAATAAGATATTATAAAGGAAAGCCCAATTGAAAGATTTTTAAATGCCCCTTTATACTCATTCAGATTTTAAACTGAAAGGAATTATACATTCCTATGGGACTTGTAGTGATTAGCATCCTCTTGAAAGGCTTCAACATTGCAGGGGCAGTGATTCAAAGCATATCCTCATTTGTTTCACCAGACTGGACAGTGCAAAAGCCATAGAAAATGATAGAAATAATAAAAGATGACAGGAAACTTAAGCAGGTTGTAATACAAATTCTGACAGCAATTAAAGATTTTTGATCTCTATTAAGATGGATAAACATAGCCCTTGGTTCTTGGAGAGCAACTGTGACATGGCAAATGAGTCTGTTTTAACCCTAATCAATGAATTTGTCCAACTGTTTTTTAAAGATATTTTAGAAGACCAAGGTAAAGAAATACCCATTTTTCTCACATTGATCTACAAATTCAACAGAATTCCAATTAAAATTTTCCCTGGTCTTTGTTTGATTGTTTAGATGTAGGGATTTATGCATAACATAGTTGATTGTAACAGAAAACAACAACAATTGTCGCATACAACTAAAGCTTCCTAAAGAAGATTAAAAATATGAGATGTGTTGTCCTACAAGTATTGAGATATTTGAAAGGTAAGTAATTAAGATTTATGGTACTAGCAAATGACAAACTGAACTATAGAAACATAATAGATGCAGAGAAATAGATCTATTCACATATGGGAACTTGATATGTGATCAAGAAAATATTTTAAATCATGAAGATCTGTGTGTAAAAGGCTGACTTATCCAATACATGTAGCAGGCACAATTGGTTATTCATATGAAAATAATAAACTCAGATTTCTACATTATATTGCACATACAAAATTTCAGATAGATTAAAATTTAAATATGAACAGCAGGAATTTAAAATATGTAAAAGGAGCCCTGGCCGGTTTGGTTCAGCGGTTAAAGCGTCGGCCTGCGGTCCGGAGAGACCCGGGTTCGGTTCCCGCTAAGGGCATGTACCTCGGTTGCAGTTTGTCCCTGGCCCTGGTTGGTTGTGTGGGTGGCAGCCACTCGATGTGTCCCTTTCACATCGATGTTTCTCTCTCTCCCTCCTGCTCTATCTGAACAAAGAATGAAAAAGTGTCCTCGGGTGAGGATAAAAAATAAATAAATAAAATAAAATATTGTAAAAGGAAATAGAAGAAACCTCCTTTTTCCTCTTCTTTTTATTAAACTTATTGAGGTGACATTGGATAATAAGATTATATAGGTTTCAAGTGCATATTTTGTTTTTATTTGTTAATTCTCTCCTGAGGACAGTTTCCCCAGTGACCCTTAGATAGAGTGGAAAGGAGGGAGGAAGAGAGAGAAAGAGAGAAATATTGATGTGAGATATTTTGTTTGGTTACCTCCTGCACAACCTTGATTGGGGCTGGAGATTGAACCTCCAAACCAGGCATGTGCACTTGACCATAAATCTGACCCATGATCCCTCAGTCCTGGGACTGACACTATAACTGCTGAGCCAAACCAACCAGGGCTCAAGTGCACATTTCTATGATACATGATCTTCGCATTGCATTACATGCCCACCACCCAACATCAAATCATCCTCCTTTACCATATATTTGAGCCCCTTTTACCTAACTTTACTACTCCTCCAATTCCCTTCCCTTGGTAGCCAACATACCTCGGAGCCTGTGTCTAAAGTTTTTATTTGTTTTTCTAATTTGTTCATTTGTTGCTTTCAATTTTACATCCCACATATGAGTGAAATCATATAGTTCTTAGCTTTTTCTGACTTAAAGTTGTCCTTCGCCATTTCGCACTTTGACTTTCATGGCTTCACTTTATCGCGGGTTTTTCAAATACTATACTATAAAAACCACGATAGAGTGAAGCTGCGAAAGTCAAAGCGCGAAGTGGCAAGGGATGATTTTATAGAAAGAATCCTACTTGGTGGAAATTCATTTATCGTGGTAGAGTCTGGGACTGATTTACCACGATAAACGAGGGTCAACTGTATTTCACTTAGCATTATATTCTCAAGGTCCATCCATGTTGTCACAAATGGGAGCATTTTATCTCTTATTATTTTGTTGTTGTTGTTGTTGTTAGTCCGTATCCAAGGATTTGTATATAGAGTGAAAGGGAGAGAGGGAGGGAAGGAGAGAAACATTGATGTGAAAGAGACACATTAATTGGTTGCCTCCTGCACAACCCTGACCAGGGCCAGGGATCAAACCTGTAATTCAGGTAAGTGCCCTGGACTGGGAATCAATCTTGTGACCCTTTGGTCCTCAGTCTGATATTCTAACCATTGAGCAAAACAAGCCAGGGCAGTTTATTTATTCTTATAGCTGAGTAACATTCCATTGTATATATGCACCACATCTCCTTTATTAAATCATCTATCAAAGAGTACTTTCGTTGTTTCCATGACTTGACCACCATGAATAATGCTGCAATAAACATAGGGTGCATGTGTCTTTGCAAATAAATGTTTTTAAATGTTTCATGTAGAAACCCAGAAGAGGGATTGCTGGGTCATATGAACTCTACACTTAATTTTTTGAGGAACCTCCATACCGTTTACCATAGTGGCTGTAAAATGACTGAGTCAAAGGAGAAATAAAAGGTGAGATCCAAAGATATATAGAGACAAATGAGATTGACAATACAACATATCAAAAATTTTGGGAAGTAGCTAAAGCAGTAAAATGAGGGAAGTTTGTATCATTACAGGCCTACCTTAAGAAACAAGAAAAATCTAAAATAAACAACCTAATGTTACACCTTAAAGAATTTGAAAAAGGAGAAAAAGATGCCCAAAATCAGCAGAAGAAAGGAAATTAAAATTCGAGCAGAATTGAATGAAATAACGAACAAAAAAAAGCTCATATAAAAAGAGTTGTTTCTTTGAAAATATTAATAAAATTGAAAAAACCCTTGCTAGACTCACTAAGGAAAAAAGAGAAAAGACTCATACTAACAAAATCAGAAATGAAAGAGAAGTTACCAAGACATCACAGAAATACAAACGTACAAAGGATCATACTAGAATACTATGAAGGACTAAATACCACCAAATTCAATAACTTAGAAGAAATGGATAAGTTCTTAAAAATACAAAACCTTCCTAGACTGAATCAAAAAGAATTGAAAAATCTAAATGGACCAATCAACAGTGAGAAAAACCATCAAAAACCTCCTCAAAAATAAAAGTCCAGGATCAGATGGCTTCACTAGAGAATTCTAACAACCATTCAAAAGAGATTTAACCCTTATCCTTCTCAAACTCTTCCAAATTATTAAAGAAGAGGCAATAAATACTTCCTAACACATTTTGTGAGCCAGCACAACCCTGATACCAAAACCTGGCAAGGATAGCACATACAAAAAAGGGAAAACTACAGACCTAAGTATCTCTAATGAATAGAGATGTAAAAATCCTAAGGTAAACTATTTTAAACAAGATAAAAAGCAAACCAAATTAGTACAAACTAACTAATTCATTCAATTACATTAAAAATGAAGATTTAGTATTCAAAATTTATCAGAGAATACTTTCAGTGCATACAACTAACAAAATAATAATTATAATATATAACAAGAGGAGAACATTAATGGGCAGAAGACATAAATAGGCATTTCTAGATAGAAAAATATATCTTGAAATGTATGAAAAAAATACCAAACCTTGTAAGTTATGAGAATACAGAGAAAAACCACAAGGATATATAATTTTACACATAGGAGATAAACTCAAATGGAATAATCTGACAATGCAAATAGTAATACTTATTTACTTTTGCTGAGTATGAATGTTATATTTTCAAAAAAATAAAATAAAATATCATGGTATAGTAAATGGGAAATGTCTACCTTACAGTTCAACTAATCTATTTCTAGGTCTAAAGCCTAGCAGGTGTGGGGAACCTTTTTACTGCCAAGGGCCTTTTGGATATTTATAACATCATTTGCAGGCCTTACAAAATGGTCAACTTAAAAATTATCCTTCTATTTTTGGCCAGGCTAATTTGGTGAGGTGTGTGATGTTAGCTGGTATTGATTTTGTGGGATTTATGTTCCCCCCGACTAACTGTCTGGAGTAACACTAGTACTTATGTATTTGGATAAATATTTAAAAACTTAAATAGCATTATTATTTCTAAAAATGAAGAGGTAAATAACCCCCAAATCCATGTCCAGGAGCATAATAAATAAATGTTGGCATATATCTATGTAGAATATTCTACAATAATTAAAAATAAACAACAGATAAAATATGTTAATAGATAATGCAGAAATATCAAGTTTAACAAAATAAATTTTCAGAAGACTACACACAATATTATCTAGCTATAATAATATGCAAACTAAAGAGCATTTTGTTTAGGCATACATGCTGTAAATGCTGCATATTAAGAGCATGGGTATTAAACATAAATTCAGGATATTCAGTACCACTGGGTGGGAGAGTAGAAGAGCATTTGGGGACAAGCACAAGGATATTGGTGATGTCCTGCTTCATAAGCTGAATAACAGGTATATGAATGTTCATCATGTTATTTGTTAAATTACACATATAAAATAAGTGGTTCAGTAAAATATAGCCTCTGACTTGTTTGTTGGATCCACAGAGGTTTATATGAGCATTTCAATTTCACACACAAGTCCAGAAAATCTGGGGCTGCAAACACACCTTTCAAAAAAAGAAATTTAATAATTCCATTGATATAAATGTATAAAGTCAAAGCTTCAAATAATTGTAGCATGGCAAATGATTAGTAATAAATGTTCAATTTGTCAATTAAAAATGATAAATCTGCATATATTAAGATACATCTACATGCATAAATATCAATTTTTTTCTTTTTGGTTTCCTCTACCTGAAATTGTTGACCTCATCTTCACAGTCACCATAATTCCAACAAGGAAGGGAGAAGCACGCATTCATGTTAATTTCACAGAGTTCCCCTTCAGATCCTGCAGAGAGAGAGGTGAAGGATATGGATGAGCAATCCTCATTTCAGAGTGCGAATCAGATCAGTGATAAAGAGTCAGAATTTGCTTATAATGGAAGTTAAGAAAAAAAGAAAGAGAAAACACCTCACCTCTGGTTTCTAGTACAACTCTATTCCATATCATGTATAAATAAAATTATGCTAGTTTCTAATTAACGAGTTCACACAAAAGAATCAAAGGAGGAATACTTTACTAAATTCCCTGAGAAAGTAGAATCATTGCTAATGTTGCTGTTGTTTTAAGGTATTTAATTATTTGTACAAGAATAATCAAAATGATCTAAAAAACAAATAAATTAATGCAATGACCAATCTTTAAAAAAATGAGCTTCAGCAATCAGATTTATTCAAGCCAGTTAGCAGATGAGGCAAATTATTTAATTGCTTTTCATATCTAAGTGATTCAAAGAAAACAAATTATTTTGACTCATAGCTACATAATCAATCATCCATTTAAACACATGCCAGTTACATTTTAAAATAACAAAGAACATTAAAAAAATTATACAGACTGAAAAGAGGCAGCTGTAATTATTTCAAAACACTTGTGTCAGAAAAATCAGCATAATTATCACTTTTTAAAACATATTAAAAATATATTTATGATAACCATTTAAACAATTATTTTTATGATTATATATCTATACTCATTTTGTCTTGCTACCATTTATTTATACTAGTTAGAAAATATACAACATGAGATTTTCCTTTCTCTTACTCTTGTAGTGATATAACTATGCACCAAATAATTTCAGTGACATTTTATATGTCAGTATCTACTCAGATTTCTGTTCCTCTAAGAGAACTGATTTTATTATTGGCACACACATAGACTGCCATTGGAACACAGCAGCGTCTGAAAGAGAGTACAATCCAACTACCCATGAATGGCCATCTTCCTCCCCTAGTATATTTTCATATAATTTCCTTTTTTCTTTCTATCTGCAAACATCTCTTCATGTTCAGAGTTTCAAATCATATATAATATTGTCATGTAGACAATATATCACTGTGTTCTTGGCCTCTATCTGTGTATCATGACCTTTTAGTTTCAGCGACTATTGCTCAGTGGAAAATCCTCTTCGTATTTCCTCACTCAGATTATCATGCAAGAACACAGGATTGGCCTCCTTTATCTTTGCACATCAATCCATTGTCATTCTCTGTGTTATCCACCATCAGGTCAAATGCCAAAACCTCTTCTGGTTGGGGTATGGGAAGCTAGTACTACATCTTATAAAATCTGTCTGCCTCATCAGCATATAATAATGTGCAAACCTAAAAATTACTTGATCCAAAAGAAGACAGTAAACAAACAAACAAACTATGGAAACACATAGAAAACAAATAGTAAGATGATTTACTGAAAGCTATATATATATCAATAATTACATTAAATATGTTAAAAAACACTTCAATTTAATATAGAAATAGACTAAGTAACAGAACCAACTGTATGATATCTAAAAGAAATTTACTTTAAATGTAAAGATAAATATAGGTTAAAAGAAGGACGATAAATAAAGATGCACCATGAAATACTAATCATAAGAAACCTGAAGAGCCCATGTGATGAATAGACCAGATAGTCTTCAGAACAAGCAGTTATTAAATTGTCTTATTTTTTCTTACTCAATTATCAAAAACTTCACATTAAACTCTGAAGTTGCATGTTTATAATTTCATTCATGTATTAGGTTGTATCCTCAGCATTAAAAATGAAATTAAAATGAGTTATTTCCAAGTTAATATGGTTTTAATTTGGGTGAGCAAATTATTATTCAACACATTTCATTCATCAATCACTATTGCTGTTATATATAAATTGCCAATGTTATAGTACAGTTATAAATAACATAATAAGCTTTGGCTTTAAACATTTGATTAGAATTAATTTTTTTTTCAAGTTAAAGATTTAGAGAGTTGGATGCATTCCACCATTTCTACTTTGAGTATGACTAGCTTTATCTGGGAGGCAGGGCACCTTGACACTAAAATGTTTCCTAGAAATGTTCCTGTGGGCACTTAGGCTCAGGGCGTTGGCTACTTAGAGAAAGGCCTTCCCGAGTTCAGCTTGGCTGATGAATCAGAAGAACATTCAGGACCTGGGAACTCAAACAGCTCACAAGATAACCTTATTTTTGTTATTTTGCCTTGTTCATTTAGTTTGACATTTCTAAGATGGAGTTTTGTTACCAAGGAGCAACATATGTCAGTGGGCTGAGGAAATGAGATGAGATTGCTGAAATGCAGGAGACATTGAGAGAACAAATAAAGTAGGCATGGGTTGCATTTAAAATAAGACAAAGCTTTACTGAGAAAGCTTATGTTCGAGGGATTTAAAGTAAGGAAATGTATACTTAGTCCCAAACGAAACTTTCCATAGTCCTTGGTGTTGGCAGTTGATATTTATTTGAGTAAAGGGTACTTATTTGAATACACTCAGTGAAAACTAAATGTCTGTCAAAATTAAAAGTACAGTGGATTAATTCCATGCTGTTCTCTTGTTATTTATCCCTATCCATAACTATTCAGCTGACTCTGATCCATTAACTGCGGTAGAATTCCTTATACTCACAATGAGTTGTTCTCAAACCGACGTCCTCTTGATCATTTTCTTAGTGTCTTGCTGGGGTATTGTAATAGCAAACGTGTGGGAATGGTTAATAAATAATATTTTCATACTTCTCCACTCACCCCCCCCCCCCCAAGAAACATAAGTTACTAAGTCTACTGCTCAAATCTAGGAGCTAAATCAATTACTTAATATGTTCTCATTTCTAACAAATGCAGCCAATTTATATGGAACAAAGTACATTAACAATAGTTAGGTTTTCATAAAGACTTTTCAGGAAACATTTGATCATTCAGGCCTCTACCTTGACAACTATCCCATTAGAAGTAATATAAGTTGAAATAATTAGAAATGAAAATAAATAGGGAAAACCTAGAGTATATCTTTCATGTATTCAAATAAGGTAGTGTCAAAACAAAACATTTTGAAATAAAATTAAAATTACTAAAAATGAATAATTTTCAAAAGTATTAAGGCATAATACTTTTATTTCTTCTTAATTAATTTTACTATATTTTAAAACTTTATGAAAGCAAACAAACAAAAAAAGATTTTTCTCTTCACAAGTCAGAAAATGTGTACATTTTGCTCCGCTGGTGTGGCACAGTGGATTGAGCATTGTCCCATGTACCAAGAGGTCACCAGTTTGGTTCCCAGTCAGGGCACATGCCCTGGTTGTGGTTTGAGCTCTAGTAGGTGGTGAGCAGGAGGCAGCCAACTGATGTTTCTGTATCACATCCATGTTTCTATCTCTCTCTCCCTTCCTCTCTCTCTAAAAAAAATCGATAAAAACATATTTTTAAAAAAACAAAATTATGTACATTTTTCTTTTTATTTTAACACAATATAATTCAAATACTATTTTCTTCAAAATTTGCCAGCACTACCAAAAAAAGTTGAAGATTTAACTTTGAAAACTATAAAACATAAAATTAATATTTTCAAGAGGCCTTAACATTTTTTAATACTGACTTTAATTAAACTTTTAGAAAATAAGAATAAAAGCCGATATTTTTATGTTAGCTTTGAGTAACAAATAGTTGACATTTTGAAGTTAATTGGCAACAAATTTTATTTGAAGAATTTTCTCACTATAAATTTCCAAGCTATGTAAACCTAGTAGACACATGTTACTGCATAAGCTCATGTTTTTAACTGTCAAAAGCTGTAATTTTTAATTTAGACAAACTATTTTGTCAAGTGACACATTTATTTGGTGCTTGAAATTATACACCTTAGGTAATGTGGCATTACCATAATAGTAGTATATATACTAGAGTAATAGATACATTTAAATGCAACTGCTTGCCTCCTCTGGTAGCACAAATCCATCAAGCTTAATATCCCAATTGTAAATCAGTAGCACATGTAAATGATCTGATTCTTCCTTTCATTGCACCTTACAAGGAGTCTTTTCCACATTTTAATCCTTTTAAAAGTGTCATTTATAGAAACTTCTGCTCATTTTATCTTGAAGACATATGGATGAAGTGGCTACCTCTGAAAATTGATCCCTTTAAATTAAATTAAAAGTGTTTGATAGGGTGATGTTTTTGCCTATAAAGTGTGATGCTATTCTAAGTAGAAAGATAAAGAATTTTTCCTAAAGAGAATGTTATAAGACAAATATATTTTAACAATAAAATTATTTCAGATCTATTACTATATTCAAATGTATGATAGAAATTACAGAGAATCTGTTATATTCAGTAGATATTTACAGACATCCGTGTGCATTTCATTTAAGTCATCTTTACCTCGATAACCCTCAAGTCATTGTTATATTTCATTTCTACCATCCTGAAGTTGAATTCACTTATTCCACCTCTTCTACTTAATCAGCTCTTTCCCCTCATTGTGTGCATTAGACATTACTTTTTGATAACATGCAATATACACAAAAACACTTAGACAAAGAATGGAATTTGTTGGTAGCCTAGCTGGGAAAGATGGCAGGCAGTTTGCAGAATTAAAGACAGAACTGTGGGAACTGCCGGCACAGGTTCTTTCCCAAGCATTTTCCTCCGACTGCACACAGATTTCCATGTGAAGGGAACATGGTATGGTGCTGGCTGCACCAACTGAAAAACTGGCAAAAGAAAAAAACAGCTTCTCTTAGCATCAAGTCAAAGGAAGGGCTCTTAATGGCACTATTCCAGTGCCCAGATCTGGATCAATCATAATTGCCAGACAGATGGGTCTTAACTTGAGTTCTTTGAAAGGAAAAGTATTAGAGAATGATTTGCAAACAGTAGCTTATTTGAGAGATGATCCCAGAAATGATTACAAGGGAGTAGGAATATAAAATAAGGAAGGGTGTGGTCTAATGATCAGGTTATTGCTGTGGGCAACTAAGGCTCCAGGGTGCTGGAGATCCTCTTAGAACT